GATCCAACTTCGCCCTGACCTCTGGCGGCAGGAGCCGGCGCGCCGGGGAGCGGAAGCGTTTTGCGGAATGTGAAAGTCGCTGGGGCGCAGCAGGCAGGCGCTCCCGATTTCGGGGGAGAGGCAGGGGTCAGCGTGCACCAGCAGGAGGGTTTCACAACCGCTCTGAGCTCAAAGCCCCGGCCCTGCCGCGTCCCCTGCTCGCTGCCAGCTCGCGATGGCCGCAAGCGGGGCTGCACGCACCGGGGTTAACGCCTGGATGGGCGGCCGCTGGTGGGAGTCAGTACTTTATAAACCAAGTATTTTAAATTAAGGTGTCCAGCGCCCCACTGTGTGGCTGCGGACAGCGGCGTGCAGAGCACTGGCGCTGAGTTCGAGAACTCTGGAGGCAAGGAAAGGCTCCTGCACGCCACGAAATTGTGTTCAGAAGGGTCGGAAACCCAGAAAAGCGCAAAAAAAGCAGCGCACCAGCGCTGAGAATTGTCAGTGCCAGGAGCTGAAGTCGAAGGCTGAGGCCGCGAGAGGTGGCTGGGAGCAAACCTCCTGATAAAACAAACGCTGCAAGCACAGAACCCGTTGAATCCAGCAGATACAAGCGTGATGAGGGGGATAAGGACCAAGGAAAGAATTCCAAGAGAATAAGGCAACCTCAGAAGGCGGCCAGCCCAGCGACCAGGAAACCCGGTACAAAATGAAGAGACCACCGACCAGAATTAAGGGATGGGACTGGGGCACGGGGTGCTGGGTGGTGTGGGTGTAACTGGGGTGCACGGTCTGGGGTGGGGGTCCCTGCTCGGAGGCAGCCGGCTCCAGCTGCTCCCCGTGTCGGATAAATAAACTGCTTGTTTACGCAGGAGACCGGCAACTTGTCTTCTGGGAGCAGGAACCTATGGCCGGGCATCCCCGTAACTCCCGCAGCGCCACGTTCGGGTGAGATGCGGATGAGGCTGGATGAGAGAGAAGCAGAGCGAAAAGCTCACCTTTATGTCGGCCCTGAGCTCGACCAGCTGCTCCTCCGACATCCGCACCGCCACGTCCGTCATCTTCTTCAGGGCCTCTGCCTTCTTCTGGCGGCCGACCAGAATTTCCACTGCGAAAGAGGCCACAGCTTAGGCAGCGTCGGGGCCGAACCTGCCTACCCCGAGTGAAACCACCCCAGCCCCGGCACACAGCACCTTGCTGGTAAGCGAGGGGTTCCCCCTGCGTCCCCCCTGGGCAGCTCCATGCCCAGCAGCCCCGGGCGCTGCCTCCTGCAGTGATTTACAGCTCCAGACGCAGCCCGAGCTGGGAGCCGACACGACCAGGGGCACGACACACAGCTTTGGCAGAAGCTTCGCCGCTCTCCCCGGGCTGGCAGCGGGGATCGGTGCTGCTGGTGTGGGTGGCCCCGCAGATCCTTCCCACCCGCACCGGGTGAGCTGAGAAAGCCCTCCTCTGCTCCCCGGGAACGCTGGGATTTTCAGGAATGGCCTCACACTGAAGAGTGCGGTTTACGTCCCATCCTCTCATGAGGGCGCAGAGCAAGGGCTGCCAACCGCACGGCAGCACACGTAGCCCAGGCGCCGTTAACCCAAGCTATGGGGCAGGTTCTGGTTGGGTAGGGAGCCGCGTATTTGGGAACAACGTGAACGGGAGGCAAGTGACAGAAATCTGCTTCTGGGGGGGCCGTCGCTTCCGAGCGCAGCAACACCCACGGCTCCTCAGGTTGGTAAAGTCAGCGCCTTACTTGCTTCTGCTTTCACTTTGTCCATCTCAGCCAGCAACGCCACCTCGCGATCCATGAGGCTGGGGGGGGAATACAGAAAAAGGAAGAGATTTAGAGTCAAACAAAGAGGACGAGGGAAATCCTACGGCAAGAACTGCGGCGGGAGGTTTTCCAGGCACGCCGGCCAGCGGGGAGATGCCGGCAGATGGCGGCAGGAGTCCGCCGCGCCGCGCACCGAGCCCTGGCTTTTGTTCTGGACGCCGAGGAGTTGTGTGCAGGCTTCGCCAGCGTTCAAACTTGCTCGGGTCAGCGCGGAGCACGGCGTGACGTTGCTGACAACCCGCCGGGTACGTGGTCACCTTGCTCTGCTCAAGTCGGAGCCGGCTGGGCAAGGGGAGAGGGAGCGGGAGCTGAGCGTTCAGGCAGCCGCCCCCTCCAGGGCAGCCTCCCAGGTGCCACCCAGCGAAGCAACGCTTCGCTCTTACACCCTCATTCGCTTATTTAAGCCTACCGACACGGCCCGCCAGCCCAGGAACCTGGGTTCTGGGGCTCTGTGCCCCATCTCGGAAGGTGCACACCCTGCTGATCCCCGCAGGGCTGCGGGACCCAGGCGAGAGCGTGCACACCCTTCTGTGCAGACGAGGACACAACCTCCTGCCAGACATCACCACGCAGGGTCACCCACAGCCGCACAGGTCCACGATCCGGGAGTCTCTTACGGTCCGAGCGGTTTTTGGCTGCGGAGGGAATACCTGAGCGGGCTGCAGCGAAGCATCTCCACTCGCCAGGAGGCTCCGGCGTGCCTCGAGTGTGTCTGTTGCCATGAGACCGCAATTCCCCCGGGCACCACGGCAGCAGCCTTTACGCAAGCAGAAGCGCACAGCTACCACCCGGCCAAATTTAGCAAATTCAGGCTATTGAGCACCCGCCGGTGGGGCTGAGCACCCAAGGAGCTCCCTGTAGCCATGGCTCACAGGCTCCGGCAATGTGCACGCCAAATAACTCAGGTTACAGTGGAAGCAGGAGAAATACCAGTCCTCCCATTCTGGACAGGGGCAGGTACTGGTCGCAGCTCAGTTCTTTGCCATAAGGAATCCAGACCCTTGCAGACACCCTCGCTGCGAACGCTTCGCTCCGGCTGCGCCCCCACGGCGCTCAGCCTGCACCACCGCAGCTCACCCTCGCCCGGCTGCTGGACGCGTTCGACAGCCAGCCCGTGAACAGGGTTCATTTCGGTTTCTGCTTTCTAAATATAAAAGCAGAGTCTTCCTCTCTATCACACTCACAGCGCAGACGCTAAATGGAACTCAGAGAGATGAGCAGCACGCCGGGCCAGCCCTTCAACGCCAGCCACACGCTTTTTTAGCGAGCAAGATTTGCTTGAAAATGGGAAGAATATTTATTTTAGCGACCATCCGAAAGGGAAACCACAGAGCATCTGAAATGCAAACTCAAACCGCGGCTCCTGCTCCTCTGCATGCCGGGGAGGGCTGAGGCAAGATCAATTTAAACAATTCCCTCTGAACAGCAGCTTTGACATTTGGCTTCTTCTGTTGATTTATCGCTCTGTCCATCTGCCTTTTCAGGGCAGGAATTGTTTCTGCTCGTAGCACAGCAGGGGCCTGGTCCAGGTCAGGCACTCTCAGCCCAACTGCGCAAATACAACAACGCGTGTCAGAAGCTACGCTAATAAGACTTCACCTCGTTTCCAG